AGTGGCAGAAAGGATTAACGGTTATATTTGAAAATAGGTATTATTTTAGTTTACCAGATGGTTTTTATTAGCCAACTGCAATTAGTTTAGCGTAGAATAAATATTAGGTAGAAAATAAATGGCACGAGAACAGAAAATTGCTTTTCGATGATAATCGCTGCACTTGCCCAAATGATATAGAAGTACTTAACATTGGATCTGCAGCCATACATAAGATTATTCATGAAGAACTGCACATTAAAAAATTAGTTTGCCGTTGGCTTTTCCATATTTTAACAGACCACAAAAAGAGTAGCTTGTCAGAATCAGTCAAGAAACCCTTAAATTACTTAAAGCTTATGCTTACCGCATTATTTCTAAAATCGTAACTGGTGAGGAAACGTAACGACCATTTTTTTAGCGTACCAATACGACAAGAAAGTAAAGCATATATCTTTGAAGATGATCTCACGGCCACAATTGTGAAAGGACAACGTGCCATGAAAATGTAATGTGTGCCATTTTCTTCAGATATACAAGACTGGTAAAAGCGAACAAGCTGGAAGGACAGCAACAAATAACTGGTATACCACTAGGTGTCTCCGAGAAATTCATCAAGAAGTGAATGGACGTCGTTTTGATTCCGAAGATTCATAATGCTATAAAGGCATTTTTCACCGATTCCAAAAAATGAACAGCTTGGGGCGTTTAATCTTTGCAAAGTTCACCTACAGAAGTACATTGATGCTGGAGGAGACTACTTTAAGCACACCTAAAATTTCGCAAGAATAGCTTAAAAAAAACCTATGTGTATCTCAAAACTTTCAGCGTGTCTCGAATTAAGAAGTGGTGGAGAATAACTCTTCACCATTCCAAGTTTGGACGACTACGTTTCGTACTTCTCCCCGAGTCACTCTTTAAGTGGAGGAGAATATAATCAATGCACACCTCCTAGCATGCTTTCGTTGACTGCGTGATTATTATTCCAGCTAGCAATCTGAAGATAAATGTTTCGAATGGTAGCTAGACCTCAGTTAATTCTTCACATGTACTGGTTTGAAATCTCTAATGGTCTCTACGTAGTTTAGTTACTATTTTGGAAAATTCGTGAGCGACTTTCCAAGGAAAAATTATATTCACGTTGCGCAAAGTAATATAAAAAATAAAAACTCAGTACAACCAGCCTACTCATTCACCGAGAACCGAATTCCGAACGAAAACGAACCTTACCCACTCGCCAATCAACAACCTTACTTTGAACAACGTCGTAGTTTCATATTACATGACTCCAATGTCTTCTGTAACTTTGTTTCATTTTGTATACATATTTCTTTGTGTTTGTATGGATATGCCTTTTTATTACTATGGCTAAAATTTTTTTAATACCTTTAAAAAATAACGATCAGATGCACAAGTTTCCTTAATGACGGTAATCACATTTTTATTTTGAATTTATTGACTTGATTTCTCTCTCTCTCTCTCTCTCTTTTTTAACAGTTGACTTTTATTTAACTGCGTAGATGATAGCGACAAAGACCTGAAAAGACAGTTTTTTATTAAAGATTGCTGACGTAAAATAAAATAAATTATTTTTTTCCAGGAATGAATCCGATGATTGCGGAGTTTCTTTGGTTTCAACTATCGCATTTTTGAATAAGAAATACTTCTTTCATATTATTAAAAAATCACAAACGAATGCGGTTTTCCAAAGTGAGTGTTTTCAATCAAAAGCCTTGTAGTTTATTTTTTCTCAACAGGAGAGTATCTATGTGAAGAAAAGATAGAAGTTTTTACTTATATCTTGAAAAGAAGCAGACAGTAAAAAGAAATAAGAAATACGTTTTATTTTTATTTTCCTCCTGATATTAAATTTCTTTCACTCTCCAAAGACTAGATTACGTTTCAAAATCTTTGCCAGCAATACTGTTTGTATCAGTTTATTTATTTTTATTTTTGAAGTGATTTGAAGTTGCATCCATAGCAAAACGACGCACTCTTATATCTTTTTCTTCCAAAATTAAATATTTTTGTTGCAGAGTTTAGCATTCTGTATCAATTGCTATTCTTTAAAGATCTTTCACTTGCTCTTTTTTTAGTTTTTAAACCGGTGCGAATTACTTTAGAAAAATAAAAACTAAAGTATTTGGGGGTTTTATTTTAAAAAATTCCCTCTTTCTGTTTACTTAGCATGTGTTTCTGAGCCAGATCTTTATTTCGTCTTTATTAGAAATAATCTTTAACTTAATTGTTTTAAAAAGTGAAATTTACCGCATCATGCTATTAACATACCCCCTGTAAAGTATGTTATTCATTTTTTATTAAAAAGCTCTAAGATTTATTTTAATTAAAACATTAATTACTTTTAAAACTTTCTGGCACTTCTGTTGTTTCACCTATTCCATCAGAATTTGTAGTTAGTTTAAACGAGGCGTGGGAATTTAACTTTGGAGGTTGGAAAATTTAGCCTGCCCATAATGGTAAAATTGCTCTTACATTACTTGTCTTCAGTAGTCAAAGCGCTTTTCGAGAGATTTAGAGAAACTGGATCAGTAAAGTATTATCCGCGAAGCAGAAGATCATCAGTTCTAACTGAATAAAAACTGCAGGACATATCAGATGCAATACTACATATCCCCAGCTACGCCATGCAACAACTGATGCAGCAGGAAAACATTGGTGTTGAGATGGCACATAAGGCCTTCTAATGAAACTCTATCTCATACCATATAAAATTACCGTGGTTCAACAATTAGTCCCAAATGACACAGGTGACAGGTGACGGAGGACGGGGACGCCTGACGTATAACATAGGTAAACAAGCATATGGTCCCACGTCCTCCACTATCTAGAAGAAGCAACTCTCTGGAGCCCCGTGAGGCTGCACCAGGAGTTTACATGGCCATACAGGGGCTAGATGTCGGGTAGTTTTTACAAATGACACAAGAAAACTAATGACACAGGAAACATAATTTCCCAAATGACACAGGAAAACTAATTCAGTTTCGTGAATGTTTTTCCAGTGTCACTGGGGACTAATTTTTCAACCACTTTCACTTCATGGGAATTCTTGCGGACAATTCTGGCAGTATATTTATATAGATATGCACTATGTTATTCTTATTGTAGAAGCATGGTTCCATTTATCAGGGCACTTCCCCGCATAGAACTCACGTCTATTCTCAAGTAAAAATCCATCCGTACTTCATGAAACTCCGCTACATGACCAAAACCTTGTCGTGTGGATTGCAGTATCCAGGAGAAGAACAGTAAGCCTAATATTCTTCAGAGGAAAAACAATTCTGATCGTTATAGTGAAGTTATTTACAATTTCATGGGAGAACTAACAGAAATTAACAACGTCTGGATTCAACAAAATGGCTCCACCGCGCACACAGCTGACAAGTCTATGAAGTTACTGGAAGAAATTATCGGAGATCAAATCATTTCAAATTGTTTGTGTCCGCCTCGTTCTCTAAACTTAAGACCTCTGGATTTTTATTACTGGAGCTATTCAAATGCTAATGTTTATCGACAGAGCACCCAGAATTGGAAACTGCTATGTTTACCAAGAATTACACAAGCACAATTTGCCAGAGTTCTTAGAGAACATTCAAGAGACGGGTGCACACAGGTCTGGAGGCTCAAGTTGAACATTTCTAACAATTACTGTAACATAAGTGAAAGTTACGAATTAATTTTTCTACTGCCTGACAGGTGCATTTTTATATTCCGAATGCACTGTATAATGAAATCTACTAGAAAAGTAGAAAAATAAATTTTATTTTCTTCCTGTCGTTTTAAAATTCATGCATTAATGATATGAATATATTTTCCCATTGGAAAAATAATATACACTAACTGATATAGCACATCTAGCAGGCTTTATATTTTGTTTGATATGATACATGTAAATTGAACAGAAAATTTAAATCATTGATAACAAAGAAAACATAAATTAGAACCAGTTGATTTTATTCTTCAGCGGAAAGTCAATGCAGTTTAAAATGGTGTTCAACCGAAACTGAAATGTATCTTGGGCATGGTACTTTATCATTTGTATCTTCGAAAGATGGAGGAATTCTTTTTAAGGTTCATTACCATACATAATACATTTTACATAATGATGATGATAAAAATCTTTAATCGTAAAATCTGTGCGTTCACATTCTGTTCAGTTAAAATTTATACATTTTAGGTAACTTTATGTAAAACTGTAGAGACATTAAGTATTTTTTCGAAGCAGGAGAGATGAAAAATTTGCAACGCGTTCGCCGGGAATCGAACCGCGGACCTCTGGAATACGCACCCAGCGTGCAGACCACCACATCACGAAGGCATGCCAAGAAGGCGGGAGAAATATCTGAAATACTCCCCCTTTTAAAGGGCGATTGGATTAGGGACCCAATCGCCAAATCCTGAGTGTGGAGAATCATCATCCAGCAACCTTTTAGTTCGGGCGCCATTGTAGAGAGTATTTATTTTGGAAGCAGGCAAGATGAAAAATTAGCAAAGCCTTCGCCGGGAATCGAACCGAGGACCTCTCAATTACGCGCTGAGAGTGCAGACCACTACACCACGAAGGCTCGCTAAGAAATACCTGAAAAAACATTATTATAAACATTCTCATATGTAATTTATGAATAAGTTGGGCTTTGAAAAAATAAATAAAACAGTTACAGAATGAAAAACTTAAAGAGTTAACATTAAATTGCATTGACTTTATAAATCAGCATTTCATTTATGAAGCACGATCTTTAGTTGCATAAAAATTACTAATTTCAATGATACATATACCATTTAATAAAAATTATTCATGTGATGATGAGTGTTACTCTTAAGACTTTCCGCAAATATGGATTATAGCTAATGATTGATTGTTTATAATGTAAAATAAATTAATTTCGTGAGTTAGTAGGTTTTTCTTATTCCTTATAAAATTATAAAAAGAAAATGCCTTTATGTTTAATTCCCTTAACGACTACAAAAAATACTTACAGAAATCAATAATGATGAAGCTCTGATAGTATTATACAATATTTTATTTATCTAGGTTTACACCAACTTCAAAATTTTGCAAGTCTTCCCAAATATACGTAAATAACAGAACACTGAATTTTCTTTCTATTCATTTTTCGAAATCCATCACCTAAAAAATAAATAACACTACTCTTAAAATAAGCATTTTTAAAAATATAATGGTTTGAAAAAATGCTTTTTTTTATTTCAGTAATACGTCATTAAGTATTAAAGATTTAAATTCAAAAGCTTAATGCGAAACTGGAGAAATCAAGTTTTACAGAAGAAATAAATACCAATGTAGTTAAGTGAATTTAACCTATTTATCTTTATTCTACATGTGCTAATAAATAATAACTTCGGTATAATTATTTTCCTCTGATAATAACTTAAACGATTGCTTAACAAGAAAGAAGTTATTTTTTCCATATCATAAGAAGTGATCGAATGAATCATGTCGCCTCTATTCGTTTTAGAAACATTCGTCTCTATTCAAAGTTACCAGTTACATTATAAATTAAGTTGTTGTAACTTAAATTCGTAAAGAACATTGTTTCAAGAGTCATAATATTAGGCCTATTTGACATTAAGGTAACTCATACACCTTAAAACCCATAAGATCTTCGAATATGTGACTGTTGCAAGAATTGGTATAACTTATTTATTTTAAAAGCAATTAACTTCCAACTTTTTACAGCGGACTGCATAATATAGCTGCTTTCTGAGAATAGTCAATCAGAAAGTTTGTGTTGCCACAAATATGTTTTATAATGTAATAATCCGCTTTGTGGCAAAAACTGTTTGGTCATGTTTCCACCTTGCACGCACGGTTTATAAACATTCTGTCGCATAATTTAATTCCATGTTTAATATATTAGCTTTTATAACATTTGTGAAACTACTGTGACCCCAATTCTAAGGAATTTCATGTTAAATTTTTATTTTATTTGGAGAGTCGAGTTTATAAAATGTATTTTATTAGAAAAATCTGCAATGATTTCGTGGCATAAAATATTTTAATATTAAAATATTCATCAGTTTTTCGGTTCAGGTTAGAAAATAGCGCCCATATAAAGAATTCCATCCAATTTCAAATATGTACCATTAGCCATTTTTAAAATATCATGCGCGCAAGGTAGAAACATGACGAAAAATAATTTTGTCACAAAGCGGATTACATTACAACAATATCTGTGGCAACACAAACTTTCTGGTTACTAGTTTCCAAAGCAGCTATATTATGTAGTAGGCTGTAAAAGGTTGTAAGTATTTGCTTTTAAAATAAATAAAATATCCCAGTTCTTGCAAAAGTCACATATTCGAAGATCATAAGGGGTTTAAAGTGTATGAGCCACCTTAAGTGTCTAGCTTAAGATAGATAGACTAACTTCAAACACAGAACAGTAGCGCTAACGAGTGTGAATTTCTTTCGCATGTCAGATGGCTAAACTCTGTCTTCAAAACCAAATTCAGCAACACAGAATGGCAAAGTCCTGTTATCATCTGTAAGCTTTCCAAGGCCCAGGCCAACTACAGGTACAATCATACTCTCCTCGCAGCGATAAAATTGGCGTACTTTCTCCGATTTTACTATAAATAACATTATTAACGCATAAATAGCATTGCTTTAGAGTTAACTAATGTTGTATTGCCGAACGGCAATTACAGTGGCGCATGGAAGATAAAAGTACTTCATTAAGCAGATGTCACACATTGCTTTTAAATAGCTGAGTTTGTTGATTAAAATTGAGAGCTAAAATATCTTACGTTTTGCCGAATGGTAGCACATTGGAGCTAGGAAAATAAAAGTGCTTTATTCCGAGCAGAGAAGATGCAGAAAAAATACTGCTTTTTTTGTAACAAAGCAGTTATTTTTTAGTTATTCTCATGCATTTCATCTCATGCAATTCATATTCTTATGCTTCGCCAGCTTAGCGGATAGCCATTTACCTCAATCAAGTTTAAATAGATCTGTCTCTATTATCTTATTTTTCTGCTGGAGCTTAGGTTTTCTTGAAACCTCTCATGTTACATTATGCAAAATTCGTAACAATACAAATTAAAAATTCAACCACTATACATTAACGTCACATCGGACAATACAATTTAGAACTGGTAATTTGATCAGCTGTATATAAAATGATACTGAATTCTAAACGCTACGTAGCTAAATCAGAGACAAGGAAAGTGGACGAAACAGGACAGGACAGGACACAGTGTGGGAAGCACCAACACATAGCCATTGGCAGAACTGGTGTTGCTCCTTCACACTAACCGTCTTGAGAAGAACACCTCCGCAGGGCGTACTTACGCCACGCATCGGTGTTAATTGAAACGTTATCACTAAGGCATAGAGAACTTGTGGGCCGAAAGATACAGTTGTTGATGACAATGACATTACAATACCATAAGTGGCCGAAGCAACAGAACTTCGTATATGAATTTACAGGTACTGACTATTCTGTCATGCTACTGTACTAGAGACACATCCAACGCGGGGCACACAGCGCACAGCATTATGCAGCTAAATCAATTAATGAATCATGCTTGAGGTTCTTCTATATACAGTTTATTAACAGAATGGCGGTAAATGATTAGTTGTTAGGATGGAAAAATGAAACTAATACCTAAATAGTAGAAAATTAAAGCAAGCATTATCAAAATATGTTTCTGCAATTGTTCTTCAGTTTAATGTTTCTAGGGTTCTACTATTCAACTTCATGTTGGCTGTCAAATTTTACACTTTGGAGAAAAACTATTGTTTTTTTTTATTTTATTTTTATTACATGTACCGTATTTGACGGCATATAAGACGCACCCTTATTTAGACGGTCCCACACAAGGAAAAAATGTTTCAGTAGCTTGGTTTCTTTTAGTTCTCAAGTTTCGTAAAAGCCAAATAAACAATTATTGAATGCAATTACCTTCACGTCTAAGACGCAGGTTAACTTTTTTGAGACCAAATTTAGGAAAAAAGTGCGTCTTATATGCCTTCAAATATGGTATTAGTTTATCTCGTTTCTTTGGAGCTCTTTAGAAATACATAAATGTTTGCCTAGTTTTGCGCTTCCCTTTCTAAATATTGATGCATTCATATTCATCTAGAATTGTTTTACTTATTTTTGAAGACAAATGGAACTCCTAATAGTTACAAAGTTTGACTCCAGAAATTCAAACTATGTTACTACATCAGATAATTGCTAATGTCTGCATGCTTAAAGATAAATTCCCGCTTCAGTGCTGACATAACAAAAAAGCTCTTGTATTTTTTCGTTAGCCTCTTTTAGTACGAAAGCATCGTTTATTTAGAAGCAATGATAAAATGTACTATATATTATTGTTAAAAATGAGGACTAAGAGAAACTCACTTATTATTAAAAAACATTTTTATATATACTCTTGAGCGATGTCTATAACTTTTTAATATATAATTATATAACTTTATAACTTTTTAATATATAATTTTTTAATAAAAATAAATGAATCATTCTTTGAAATGAATGCAGTCATTCTTACTTCCTTGTGGAAAGCGAAGAAATTACTGCAACAGCTAAAAATTTCGGGCATCATATTTTAACGGTAATATCCCTTTTGACCGTTCCCTAATCCATTTTGACTTTTTTTTTCTTGAAGTCTGTACGCGTGAACAGAATAAAGGACTCTTTTTATCCAATGCGGATTATGAAATGGAGTTAAAATGGATTCAAAATAAAATTTTTCGTGACGTCTGTACGTATATATAAATAAAGTATCTATCTGCCGCCCAACCGGGGTAGTGGTTAGCGACTCTGACTATGGTATCGAAGAACCTGAGTTCGAATCTCGGAGAAGTCGTGGATGTTTGGAAATGTATAATGTATGTGAGTCATGGGAGCATTCTAAATATGCGGCGAGCCGAAAAGGCCTCTTGAGAAGTTGTAGGTAAGGGAGGAGGGATGGGAGACCCTTCAGACCCGTCCCCCTTCTCTCAAAATTGGGGAAGGAACTGAGCTATAGTCGAGCTGTCACATTTAAGGTGCTCAAGGCTCTTGGCAAGGACAGGTGCATTTCACTCCTTGCCGAGTTGAAAATCGTGAGCTTGTAATGACCATTGTCAGATAAGTGAGACTGGCAACAACAATAACGTATATATCTCGAATAACTGAAAAACGATTAGTCGTAGAACGTTGAAATTGTGTATATGGAACTGCTTTAATATCCTAGTTGCACCTCCTTTTTTTTATGTATGTTTTGGCAATGTTAAATTAAGAAAAAAACAATTTTCAACAAAACAGCAAGATCCTAATTTCAATGCTATCTCGAAGTTCTTATGCTTATATTTGGAACAGTTTCGTACTCGTCATGAAAAAACAAAGTTATAAAAAGTTGGTACGGCAAAAGTTCATCGAAATATTTAATTTCAAAATTTGCAATTTCTTATATCATTTTCAACGTTCCTTCGGGGATTGGTTAATTAGAGTAATTCGAGGAAGCGTGTTGAGCAAAGAATACATGTAATATAATAGGCCTTACCAGGAAGTCATTTTTCATCTGAGTTGACATTACCCTTCGTTTTACGAGGTGAAAGACTAAAAACGAAAATGGAGAGCCGAGGATAGGGACTCGACAACCTCCCCACAGCTATTGGGAGCAACTCGGGAGGGAAATGACCTTGAAGTGCCTAACTTAGCGTATTAGACTGTAGTTGGAACCAAGTTGGATCATCAATTTTTGGGTTACAAGTATGAAACTGTTTGAACTGCTGAGACCTTGCAAGTGGCAGTGACTAGTTTTGTTAAATTTCAGTTGTATTAAAAAAGTAGACTTTGGATCATTTAGCAAAGTTTAATTTTATCTCTTTATGCTTGAAGATTACACTTCTGTCAAGTGTGAAGAAGAAAATTCTTCGAAGCAAAAATAGGTTAAAAGACTCAGTTAAACAGCTAGTTTGATATCAGCCAGACGGGAAGATGGTTAGTGACTCTGACTGTCGTACCGAAGGGCCTGGATTCGCATCCCAAAGAAGGCATAGATTTAATTTGTCCATGTGCTCAGAGGAGGCAACAGTAGGTCACCTGGTAGGTGGCTGAATGAGATAAAGTGACCACCGCTTTTCCGGCCTTAGTAGTGGTCAAAACCTATAAAAGGCCATTGGAAGAAAAAGAAGCAAACATTTTACCATTGAAAAGAAAACCAAACGAACAACCAAAAAAAGTGCTTGTTAGACTAAATGTAACGTAGTTTCTCTACTAAGGTTCCTTTGTGGACTGTGCATTTCTAGGTTACACATGTAGTTTTTGCTATTAAATTAAATTTTATTCTAAATGTATAGATTTTCATTATTTGTTTTGGATTTTCTTCATTCCAAACCCAGAAAGTTTAAAAGGAAGCAGAACTGGTCAAAAAATAAAACAATAAAGAATATATGATTGCATACTACTATTTTATTGACTCAATTTTTGGCGAAACTCTGTATGAAATATTACGTAAAATATAAGACTAATTAATTAAAACTATGTTTTAATACTCCTAATTAGGAACACTGGTAGATGCACATTAAAACAATATTGCTGACGTTAGTCAAAATGAATTTGGTTAAAAACTCTGAGTGCTATAATGCAACTGTTTCAAGGCTTCCTCAGTGTTGAAAACCGATACGTTTATTATGCCAAGATCTCTTAAATTATCTCAAGATAGACTTCAAATATGCTATGCTTTTATTTCTGATTAAAGAACTTGAATATAATGAATACCTGAGTTTAAAAAAAGGAAATGAAATAAAGCTTTATATAGTGTCCGCTTAGATTTTGCCTCTGCTCTAAAATAACTTTTTGCTTTGAAGAGAAAGTGAAGCATGCAGAAGCTCTCAGACACTTTGTTTTCAACGATCTCTTCAAACGAATAAAATGTGAAAAGAAAAGCTCTTAGATCCTGAATCAAATATTCTTAGTCCTTTTGATGCAATTATAAGAGAAGAGTTTTAAAACTTAATTTTCTTTCTAAACTTCTTTTTAAAAAATGTAGTCTTTGTCGTTTCTGTTTAAACTTGTTTTACTCATTTTTCTTGAAAAGATACAAAAGCTCGCCTGTGTTTAATTAGATTTCGGGATTGAAAATATGAAAGAAAATGAAAGTAACCTTCTTAATTTAAGTATGGATAGCAAATGTGTTGCTATCGTATACTTTACGCAGTTAAGAATTTTTTTTCCCATGTTTAAGTTTCATCAACGTTTAGTCATATTAATGCTCTTCTAGAGGACTCAAAGTGATTGTTATTTGCCGTGTCTTGATAATAATATTTTTAGGAAAATGTTATTTAAAAATAATAATGAGTTTTTATTTAGCAATAGTGCTGTCACATATAAAGACATTTTCAACCTCCCTTTCTTTCCCAGTTTTACGGTATCACTAGAAATGGGGAAAAATTTAATTTAGCTTAAAGTTTTATACAAACATCTATTAATTTGAAAATTATTATGCATAGCAGTCGTATTGAAATTTTTTTAATCTTAGATCAACGTCTTTCCGGAAAATTTTCTGTTATATTTTCCACAAAGGTTTTTCTGAAGTACACCCTTTCTGTGATGTATTCGTTTGTAGAGGAAAATTATTAAATTTTTCCAACAAACTCTGAGTAACAGATACTTTCTTTTCTTTATTTTTTATAACAGTAATCTACTTTCAACGCATTGTCTTAAACTTAAATGCAAAGTTTTATGAAAATGGTTTCAATTTTGAAGTGTGAAGAAGTTTCTTCAAATTATGGAATAACGTTTTCATACAGCATGCATTTTAACTAATAAATTATTCATTTTATTTTGAGTGGTAAAAACAAATGTTCGAATACTTTTACATTAAAAGTTCTGAAAAGTAAATGCTTTTTATATAATGAGTTTATCAAGTGCAAACTTTAAAATGTTATGATGAACACAATTTTTATTGATTAGAAACGTTAAAGTCTGAAATTTCTTCTGGTTTTTGTCGCACCTTAAATGTATTCGTAAGAGTCTTGTTGAATAAGTAGGACTTTTCGTTTAAAAGAGATATAATCAATTTAAAAACTACGTTTAATTTAGCAATTCGAAATTTTGCAACACAGGGAATGTATAAAATTTTTCAAAAGAATCTTTTTCATCAATAACAGAAGTTTCTTTCATAAAAACGCTTTTTCAACATACATATAAGATCAGTATTTGAAGAGGTAAAGTATTACTTACCCTTTTTCAAGCACCTTGTATATATCCTGAGCCATTATCTTATGCAGTCATTTAACAGTTCTAAGTTATGCCGGCATAAGTCAGTTTATTCTGGAAACAATCAAATAAAATTATTTGCAACACTCTGAAGTGAATAAATCTAATTTGTGTAAGAACCACGATCTGAAATTTTGAAATTAATTTAGTGTGGAAAGAAACTCCATCGTTGGATTAAAGGTTATCCGTTTAGGGTAAAGAATTCAGTTAATTCTAAGCACATTAAGAGGTTAAATTTTATTTAAATGGAATACACGTTCTCTTTCATAATAACATGCACAAAAAGGAGACTGAAATAATTTAATAAGGCAATAAAAGTGAGAGTAAACATCGGCAAAGCCTAAATTTCAGTGCTTTCTGCATTTTAACGAAATTTTGAATTTCGTTAGCAGGCAATTTACTAAAGACGCATTTTTTTTTTTTTGTTTATTAAATTAGTTTTCTTCACATTTAAAAGATTAACTTAGGGATATTTAAACTATGGAAAATATTTTGGATTTAATCCCTTTAATATTTTATAAAATAAGAGCATAAATCGTTTTGTAAAATGAACTTATCTTTTTTTTAATTGATTGCGTAAAACATTTATTACAAACGCATCTTTGCAATGTTAAAATATAAGAATTTAAGGTATTTTATTTAAGTTTCAGAACTCCATTACTGAAATTTTACATGAATTCAAAAATGTATATAATTTAACCCGCGGGAAGGCGCGTGGGGTGTATCATACCCCAACCTACATAAAAGTGGAATATTCCTAACTTGTGAAACTGAAATTCTGTGCTGCTTTCAGTAGCTGAGTTTCTAGTTGTTTTTGACTTTCAGAACCGCTTTTTCTTTGCCTGTGTGTTTCAGAAAAACAGTTATCGGTATTTTGTTGGAACTGGGGTATGACACACCCCACGCGCCTGTTCGTGTAAGTGTTTTTCTGACTGAATATTTAGTTCAGAAATTTATTTCTAGAGTGTAACAGTAAATATTTCTACTCGCAAGTACTTGACATTAAATTCTGAAAAATTTCTAACTGCATTATGGTAAAAAGAATGAGTCCCTATGAACTGGAGATGCTACGCATGCGAGATTTATTAGAAATATTTGAAATTGATGAAGATTGCATTTCGGAAACTGAAGATGAAACTAAGAATATTTTCTACAACGTTTTGGTTTCGAAAAAAGATAAAACATTAATTCCTGATGTTCCTAAAAAAGGAAAAACTGTTCTTATGCTTTATATAACGATCATTATAACATTATATAACGATCATACTATAGATGATACTATTGGAGAAAATAAAACGTTAGGAATTATATGTTTCAATAATATGACTAAAGGAGCAGTGGATATGGGGGATGAAATATCAGCCAATTATTCAATTGCCAGAATAACGAGAAGGTGGCCAATGGTAATTTTCTTTCCTGCACTGAATGTTGCTGTAATAAATGCTTGAATTATATTACATTCAACTGCTAATCCACCAACAAGAAACAGAAGTCTGTTTTTGAAGGACTTAGCATTACAATTAATGAAAAAGGTATTGAACAAAGATCAGAGATTAATACTTTTCCAAGAAATTGACGTACTGCATGCAAAACAAAAGCAGAAGTTTCGATGAAGAATTAAAACGACTACATGAAATTCGAAACAACTAAGTATGAAAGATGTGTTAAATTTTTTGCCCTCGCGCCAAGGACAGGAGTGGAGAAAAAATATCAGTGATAAAAAGGGGTCGCGACTGAAAAAAGTTTAAGAAACCCTGACTTAAACGAACCATAGAAAATTCTACACCATCTTTACTTAACTCACATCAAAGGTAAAACTTTGAACTCATGCTGTTTCTTTTTCCTTTCTTCTCTTTTCCTTTTTTAACGATGCAAGGTGAGGCAAAAAATCTTTAGATGAATGTTTTTAAATGTTAACTATATCTGTTTACACAAAGATATGTCCCTAGCTTGTACAAAGTATAACAAAACAGCCCAACAAATAAATTTCATGCATTTTAATACAAGGAGTTTGAGTTATCGTAAATAAACATGATTGAAGAGTATACTTCCTATTTTGGGGAAATATTTAAAAATTAAGTTCTACAAACGTACAGTTACAATGTACGTTCGTTGAATCGGTACTCCAAAATCAATGGAATTTCCGGTTTTTCAATTTTTTGCTGGAAAAGTACCTTAATACCCTTACTACACTGAACAGAAGTTTTGAAATGATATGACATCAATAAATGCTATAAAAAGGTTTTTAAAAATTTTAACAACCCTTTAAATGCCACACTCCCTCAGTATTTATTTTTTTTTATTTTTTATTTTTTAATTTTTTTCAGTAACTTACTAAAAATCAGTAAATGAAAAGGAGTGTAATTAAATATGACTCCAACTATCAAAAAACTCTGTTTATGTACTATATGTACTGATTGATTTAAATACAAATTAAAGATGGAAAAAACATTTTCACCTTTAAACTGGCAAATTTATATATTTTTACTGAGCTCAGCAAATCATTTTATGTGTATTATCAGTCAACTTTGCTATGCTTATTCAAAAATTGAAATTATCTGTGATTAGACACGAACAGACAGAGGGTGGTGTAATGAAAGTGATCACGTTTCTGACTGTAGCATTATTGAAATAGTGCTGGAACAAACATTAAACTCTTTAATTAATTAAAATGCACATAAACTAATTTAAAACGCAATTTATATAAGTGAACAAATGGCTAAAATAAGAGAAGAAATCACATAAGCTGCTGAGTGGTTTTAAATAAAATGTTTTATGTCTGTTAAAATTCAAATTTTGCTTTTTTAAAAAAGGAATAAAACGACAAATTAATATAATTAATAATGATTATAAGCGGTTTTGAAAATAAATTATAATTAATTCATGCATTAAAATTGTTTTGAGCGTGTAAATTCAGTAATAAAATTTTTAAGAAATTTGAAATGATTTAATGACCATTTAGAACAGTTTACCTTCTTTAAACTGCGTTTTCTCATTTTTCAATATTTCTGTATATCCTTTTACTTAAAGTCCTAAAACTTGTTCAGATATGGATTAAATTATTTAACAATAACTGATTATTTAAAATTATATAGTAAATAGAACCAAGGATGGGTATTGAAATATAGTGAAAAGAAAAATTATTGAAAGTGAAAATGTCATTGAAATCATACTTTTTTTAAGTTTTTATATTAAAATGTGGATTTTATTTTTTTCTCGGAAACTAATTCATTAATTGCAAAATTGATCCGTAAAGTTATTAAGAACATTGTTATAAACACAATAAAAATTTTGGAGCAAAAATATTGAAAATTGTGGAAGAAGAAAGAATTTTTAATTGTTGAATTTTTTAAAATTTTAATTAAACAAAAATTAAAAGCAAAAAAAAAATTTTCAGCTTAAAACCACTTAATATTATTCATAAAAAGTAGATGAAAGTTCTTAAATAAAAAAATCATTCAAAAGGTACCGAGTCCTCTTAGCTCCTAACTTAAAGATCAAGTAAGATTAGAAAATGCATTTCAAAAATTAATTTATAATACGCAAATAGGTGGTAGGCTGTATCATTTGCTTTATCATCTTCTCAACAGATTTACTTATTTTAGACAGATTAGAAAACGTATTGTAAAAACTGTATTGTAGTTATATAACTGTATCATTGTTGAATTGTATCTATTCCATTATTGGCAGAATTATATTTATTTATTTACTCAGCATAGATGGAGGCATAACTTATTGTTACCAAAATATTTTTTTTAACATGTAGTTGTGCACCTTTCTTTTTTGGTACAATCAGCAGCACCAAAAGTATCTAAATATACATATATATATATATATATATATATAACCCCAATCTGTTACTCGGCTCAATGAGATCAGTTTCTTTTAGTCTTATATGTTGGTAAATTGTGCATTTTTTGCTTTAAAAATGATTGAATTAGGTTGTTCTTGTCTTCCAATTAAGGTTTTTATGCCTTTATTTAATTTGCATGCAATAGTTGTAGAATTATCAACAATTTAAAAGTTTTTTAAGGGAGTCTAAGCCAAATTCTTTACCACAGTAACCATATTTGTATACATTTGTAAATCAGCAGAATAGTGAATTAAGTCTTTCTGCACTTCCAGTATCTTTTTGCAGAGTGAGACCAGGAGGTAACTTTTAGTTTTGTGCACCGAAACATTTGCCTTTTGTCTGCTGGCCGAATTTCTTGTTTTTTGCTTTGAAACTGTAATTGGAATTGTAAAAATTGTTTTATAGGTTTTTTAATTGTATTTGGTGTTTTATGTTTTATTATATTTTTCAATTTTAATGAAAATATTTTGAGTTTTTATGTATTTTTTCCTTGCATCGAAGTGAGAAATGAATTAATTTAATGAGAACTACACTGGTGTGCAAAAATTAAGGACGAGACGGTTTTTTCAATATAACTTTGTACAAAAGCTTTCCAAATCAACACATTTCATACCGTAAGATCCCCTATACGTAAGGACGTGAGTAATGTAAGCAACACTTACTAAAAGAAAAATCAGAGGGATAAAAAGAAGCTTTATTGAAAAAGTAGCATGGAGCGCAATGCGACTGAAGGCCGAAACATCCCTGTGATGGGTGTCCAGCTAGAATATCCGGTCTTTAATAGGGGATATGATCTCCCCTGACTGCTAGGCAGGTTTCACAGCGTCTGCCCACGCTGAGAATGAGGGTTTCAATGAGTTGTTGAGGCAGTGCTGCCCATTCGTCTTGCAGCGCCAATCGAAGCTCCAGAATCGTTACTGGTGGTAAGGTACGAGCTGCCAAGCGTCTGCCTAGAAAATCCCATACATGCTCGATGGGATTGAGATCCGGAGATCGTGCCGGCCAATCCATATGTTCAATATCCTCATTCTCTAAGAGCTGTTCGGCAGCTACTGTGCGATGACATGGTGCATTGTCGTCCATGAAAAGGAACTGCGGACCCATAACGCCTCTAAAAAGACGCACATATGGAAGAAGAATCTCGTTACAATAATGGGTCCCGTTGACTGAACCTGCGTCGAAGATATAAAGGTCTGTACGAC